CACAAATTCAGTGGGTCTCTTTTAGTGAGGTATTCAATTTTTAGCTCCTCACTAATATGGCAACGAAGGAAAATTATGGCATTTGGCTTATCTTATGAAATAAAGTGGATCCCACTTTTATAACATCTTGCGGATTGTAGCAGTGATTTTTTTTTTTTTTTTTTTTTTTCCTTAAACCATATTTAATTGAATATCAATTTTCGTAGGTCAAAATGGGTTCTTCCAAACTGTACCACATAATATATCAAAATGCCCATTTAGATCTTTGACAATCCAAATGGGTTATATAAGTTTGGACAATTAATTATGCATCAAATATTGAATACACCCTTAAACATTTTCACTTTTGATTATTAGGTAACTTAGGATGATAAATATCATTGATAGTGACGTTGCCAAAATTCCTCTAACAGTGAGAAGAAACATTTTTCTATCAACCTAAAACTTAGAGAACTTGCAAAATATAATCCCCTTAGCAATACTTATCAAAAAAAAAAAAAAAAGAAGTCCCCTTAGCAATTGTTACAACAAATACAACAAACTCAATAACAAATAAAGAAATATGAAGAAAAAAAGAAAGTAAACACACTACTCAAATAAACACTAATGTCGAGTTCAATAAGAAGGAAGAAAGAGGTGTGGAGAGAAAATAAGAAGGAAGGACCGAACTTCCTTTGCACTAATAGAAAAGAAGGAACAACCTGCATTAAACCCTCTTTTTATCTATGTTTTGCACTAAACCTCTATTCTATTTTTTTTGCCAAAAAACCCCCCCTCAACTATCCGGGGGGGTGATTTAATTGACGAAAGTTAGCTAAAAGGGAGTTGGTTGGACATTGAGTTTTCCATATATTTTTTAGACAAAAATGCCCCTATTTTAATATACCTCACATATATATGTACTCCATTATCACTATTCGCCGCATATCATCCACCATTGTATCAACACGTACTCTTCTTTTTGTTCAACTTCTTTTACTTATCCATCGTGTGTGTGTATGTATATATATATATAGAAAAAGAGGGTAAAATGCATATAACCTCCCTGCATTTTCAGCCAAAAGCACAAAACACCCCTGAACTAAGAATTACCCCCTAAGAGCATCTCCAATGCACCTTTTATTTAGGCTACTAAACTCAAAATTTGAGAGAGGTGTAAAAAGTGGGTTCTCCAATGGGCTTTCATTTGGGCTCTCAAATTTTGAGAATGCCAAAATTTTTCTCAAATATAGGACCTGTCAATATTTTTGGCAGGCATTCTCTCTCTCTGTACGATGCCGTTTGGAATAGCTTTATCTCTGTCCATTACGTTCCTGTCCCCTCTTTCGACTGGTTGCGTGAAAATCTGACTTCAATCTCTCTCCTCTATATATATGTATGTTTGTATATCTAACTCTTAATACAAAATCTGACTTCAATCTCTCTATCTCAATTCAATGATTCCAATTTCTCCATAGTCGAATATGGCATTTACAGATCCGGCTTGAGAGTTAGCAGTTGCACAGAGAGAGGGGGGAAAGCTTGAGAGTTGAGAGACAGCGGCTGAAGCTTGCGAACGGCAAACCCGAATTGGAACAGCGGGCGATTGAAATTGAAAGATACGGGTTTTCATTTTTTAAACAATCTGAAATGATATGCCGATATGGGTTTTGATTTTTTGAACAATCTGAAATGATATGCCAATATGGGTTTTGAACTTTTGATTCTTGCAAACAGATAGGTAAACTGAAATATGTGGGTTTTGAACTTCTGATTCTTGTAGATTTTGTAGTTTGCAGTTGCAGAGAGAGAGAAGGTTCAGTCAAGTGAAGAAGGCTTTCAGATCACCTACAAAAGGCCATGAGAAAAAGAGCAGCAGAAGGAGAGAAGAACATGAACAAGAAGAAGGTGTTGTGTATGCAATAAGCCTATCAGTTCCTTTGCGCGACACCTCAAGACCCACACCCACCTACCCTCTTTCTCATCTTCGCATCTACCCCAACACCAGTCCACAAACATCGCCTCTTTTCTCTTTCTATACCCTCAACAGAACAACGAGGCATGAAAGTCTATCAAGGTCAATAGTAGGGGTGGCTAGGCTCATCTGGTGGGAGATCTTGGACCAATATGGAAGTTCAGAGTCAAGAACGAGAATAAAGATGGAGGCTGAAATGATTTGCCCTAAAAATATTATGTGGGACATAATGCAATGAATGGTTAAGATGGGAAGGCAATTTCGAAATCAACGGTCAGAGTTAAAGTAGGATTGGAAAGCTAGAAGTGGGTTGAACTTGGTTTAATAGAGGGTGAGAATTGCTAAAATATAGCATTTTGGATGAAATGCACCATCAGAGTAAAATTGCTAAAATATAGTATTTTGATATTGTAGTTCATCTCAAAATATAGATTTGACAGTCCGAAATGGTATTTAGAATTAGAGATGCTCTAAGCTATTTAAAATGTGCAAGGACAATATGAATAGTCTTCGACATCAAAGGTTACCGGAGATGTTTAATTACAAAATTACCCATGTGTAAAAGGAGGCCATTTGAGTGATTTATTTGCTTCTATTGCTGATGTGTCCAATGAAATATGAAAATCCAATAGTATTATGACAACACATTATCACTTTGCCAAACACCACCTTACTATCCAAACACTTCAGCGCCAAACAGAGCCATTCTAATAGCAAAGCCAACAACCAACCAGTCCATTGCAACTGTGTACTGAATCAATCTGAAACTCAAGCTTTGAAACCCTAACTTGTTCCATTGCAACATAGCTATTGTACAAACATTCCCCCCTCCCTTTGTACCTCTCTCTTCCCCTTTCTTTCCTCTTATGGCCCGTGATGAAGGCACTGCTCCGGCGGGGTCATCGGCGTTGCCATCAAAAAAGCGACCACAAGGTCACGGTTTTCCGATTGTGCTACTTAGGGGCTTCACGGCTTGGAAGGGTCGCCTTCATAGCGACCCATGTCCAAACTACTGCTCGGCGACCTTGTGTTGCCGTGGTACAGGTCTCCAAGTCACTGGACGGTGACCTGGTAAGCCGCCGTGAAGAGCAGCGACCAAAGTCGTCGTTAGTAGCGACCTTGGGTCGCGATTTGGAGAGGGTTGGATCGCTAGTCAGGATTTGGAGAGGGTTGGGTCGCTGATTTATAGAGGGAGCTGTCCATGGTGGTTTCCAGGTCGCGCTCCGGCGACCTGGTTATACAAGAAGAAAGCAACGACGATTTTGGGGGGTTTCTCTCTATAACACTAATAAAGGCAAAATTGCCATTTTGAATTTACATCATACGTTTCACGGACAAAATCAATCGGAAAAGTGATTGATTGATTTTTTTTTTTTTTTTGCAAAAATGGGGGTAGTTCAGGGATTTTATGCCAAAAACAAAGTTCAGGTAGGGAGAGAGAGTAAAGTACAAGAAAGTTATTTACACTTTACCTATATATATTTATTAGGAAAAATTACGTATAAATGGAGTCAAAGTTTCATATTTATTTAGAGGCTGAGTCAAAGTTTCATATTTCTCTAAAATGGATTGCTGAGGTGGCACATGGTTTTTTACTGTTTAGAAATTGTGGTGCCTAAAATACCCTTCCGTGAAGGTACTACTTTTTCTTCAAAGGTACCACTTTTTTGAACTGAATGTACTACTTTTTGGTGTCCAGGTACCATGTTTTTTAAACACCCGCGAAGGTACTACTTTTTCTCCAGAGGTACTACTTTTTTGAACTGAAGGTACTACTTTTTTGTTAGGGAAGGGCATTTTAGGCACCACAATTTTTTAAACAGTAAAAAACCATGTGCCACCTCAGCAATCCATTTTAGAGAAATATGGAACTTTGACTCAGTCTCTAAGTAAATATGAAACTTTAACTCCATTTATATGTAATTTTCCCTATTTATTATATATATCATTATAATATTATATATAATATGTATCATAATATAATAGTATATATTATATGTATTATATTTTCATCCAGCCGCATATATAAATCTGGGGCTTTCCTTAAAATTATAAAAAACATGGCCAACCTTGCTAACATTGATCTGAACGCGTGTTTGAGTTGAATTAAGTGGCTTTTTTCGCTATTAGTAATTGGTTTAAATTGTTGCTTGCACGCCAATGTTAGAAACTAAGGTGGTGTTTTTTTGTTACCCAATTAGGTGCTTAACACTGAAATTTTTGACGATTTCTCTACTAAATGTTTTTGATTACCTTACATCAATTAGAAATTAACAAATGAATTAAATTGAATGGACCTAGCTTGTTACTTAAATATGGAGTGTTTCAATTGAAACCTATTTTTAAAATTTTAATCTGAATTGCAAGTTCAGAGTCCAACGTCACACCATTAATTTGCACAAGTAGTAAGAAGCACCAAAGTTTTTAAATTCCGGAAGAAATTCACGTGGTTCGTTGTGCATTGATGCCATCTTCGAATGGAAGGGGACAAAATCCAATACTTTCTTGCACTCGAAGAGTCTTATGTTTAAAAATTTTAATCACGTAATGAAAACATTGATAATGCACTGTTGAATTATGCGATCAATTTAAAAAAAAAAAAAAAAAAAAACATTTTTGTATCCGAGGATAACAGAATTGGTTCATCATCGGCAGAGTAAATGTCTGTACTTGCCGCCCTTGTACAGAACCATTGCTGATAAATTTTTATGCTTATGGTGCATTGTTTTTTCTCTAGTGGTTATTGTTTTTGATCACTCTCTTTTATAGAATTGCATCAGCTGAATGCACAACAGTGTTTATGAAATGATACAAACATAAATCAGTACGGCCTCAACAATTGATGAGCATTGCTGAAGAGACATTCTGATTTTACTGGAAGAATGAGAAATAATTTTGGATATATATATATATATATGTCAAAACCTCGAACGTATTTCCTTTTCCAGTATAACAACATCAGGCAATCACAGAATTCTGGGTACATTGTTTCAAGATAAACTTCAAAATACCTTATACCAAAAGAAGCCATCTTGTTAGTCTCGGATATATAACACCAGTCCTGAACTAATAATTGTAATACTGATTTGATATACCCCGAACAAGAATTTCAAAGAGTAAAAAAGATTAAATATCATACAAGTCTTGTCCTGCTAGTTTTTTTAGTTGATATATCCTATGCATGAGAGTCAGGCCCTGCTGGTTTTGTGTTAAGAAGAGGCTGGAGAGCCTTCACAACAATGGTCATATTTGGGCGGAAGTCTGCTTCATACTGAACACAAAGTGCTGCAACTGCTGCCATCTGAGAAATTGCATATGGCAGACACAATTAGACCTATTAAGGGAACTTGAAATCGCCTAATATGCACTGATGCAGATGCAGATACAACGAAATCACTTTGATAGAAATGAAATTATCCACAAATGAGTAATACATAGAAAGACATGATACAAAAAGTTAAACTTCAAGCTAATAAGGCTAGATTTAACAAAGAAATTCTGAGACAGGCCAGTTGAAACACTAGATGGAGCATTCACTAGGAAAAATTTGCTCCAACGTCTGTCAGCCCAATCTCCTCCTACCTGTGTAGCATGGCAGGCAAAGAATGGGTAGTTTACTGGTATTATCCTCAAACTACTACAGGTTAATCATTAAAGAGAAGGAAATTTAATGAATTTGAGACTGCATGCATGTTGGGAGATTGGTTGACCTTGGTCTTTGTTATTTGTGTCGGAATTTGTAATAACTATCCTAAGGTGGTGTTTCTTTCTTTTGCTTGTTCCCCTTTCTCTCTCGTATGAGAAAGGATTCTTTCTGGAAGGTGGTGTTTCTTTCTTTTGCTTGTTTCCCTTTCTCTCTCGTATGAGAAAGGATTCTTTCTGGGATGCTCTCTTTTGTTCGTTTTGGCTCTCACTCTTATTGTAAGTGGTTTTGATTTCTCTATTTGTGCCCAAGGGTGTGCGTTGATAAATAAATAAATAAAACTTGAGACTACATTGGAGTGGACGTTAGGGTTCAAACCCCATCATCTGAAGAGGGAAAAGGGGAAGAAAAAAGGAAAATCTGTCATTTGCATGTTGTACAAAGGCATTCTAATTGTTATATCTTAAAAAACTAGAAACTGATATACAACCTTTTTTTTTTCTTTTTCTTTTCCAGTAAGTAAAAGTGATAATCTCACATTCTATAAAGAGCTATTCTAACAACTAAATATACACATGATGAGTTGACACCTACCTATGATCGATGTTGGTGCTAAATTTTGGTCTGTCATAAATAATTCTTTAAGTTGCTTCAAACATAATGCAAGATCCCAAAAAAAAAAAAAAAAAAAAAAGGTGTTAAAAGGAAAAATGTAAAGAGAAGGATGAAGGAGAAAACCTTAGCAATTGCCTTTGGTGGATACTCATTGTTTAGCTTGGGATCCACGCATTGTTTTACTTTATCCTCACTCAATCTTGGAGTTGCCTGCGCGTACAATTGGAGAATACAAATTAGATACATATTTCTGAATAAATATGAAAGAGCTGACAAGAGGAACTGAGACCAAAGTTATGAAAAGCACACCCAGGTAACAAGACTCTGTTGTCCTTTGGGCATTGTATGGTCTACTGGCTTCCTTCCTGTCAAAAGCTCTAAAAGAACAACTCCAAAACTGTAAACATCACTTTTCTGAGTTATCTGCCCAGTCATGGCATACCTGAATGGGAACCAAGATATGTTAGTGCAGGAAAATGAAGAATAATTTATGAAGCTCTTGACACTGGTGTGTTCAAATGTTGGAGCTTGAAAATCCACATAACCTTAACAAGAAAAGAAAAAAATCTTTGTTTTTGTCTACATGTCCCTCGAAAAATTTATCAACCTGCTCTATTTTGTATAGCATTCGAGCACACAAGTTGATGGTTTAATTAGGAGACGTGACCGTAATAAATAGAATACTTATATGCCACAAAAAAATAACAATAATAAAAACACACACAATGGCTTAATGATCTTATGTGATCTCAATGGACTGAATCAAATACAATGGACATCCAAATGCCCATCCAAAAAATAAAATGGAATCATTCACTGTTTTGTCTCCAAATTGAAGAGACACAGATGCATTATAGTTACTAATATTTGAAGCCAATCATGGACAATAGTTTCAGTAAAAGAAAAAAAAAAAAAAATGTCTTGACGAAAAAATGGTTCACAGTATTAGTCTGGAATCTGGATACATGTCTCATTCTCCAAAAACTTTAATGTCTAGATGAAGGGTGACTGGTGTAAAGGATATCACAACCTCCCCAACGCTCGTCCTTTCGCTCTTAGTAACTAAAACTCTCAACTATTTGTCGTGCCCGACTATTTCCCTCCACCCTGTTTGATTGCCTATTCACTGAGTTCTTAAGGACATAGCAACAACTGGAATTCACATCTTGGGTCAACCACAAGGGCACTATTTTAAATTGAACTGAAGATAGTCTAGACTTCTGATATCATGTGAAATAGTTTTCACCTACTTCAGTGAGATATAAAGTAAGTTAATTTCAACTGCTTTTATAAACTCAGGTTGTAACACACAAGGAATTTAGAATTGAGGTCTTTCAACTGGATCAAAAATTTAAAGTAGCAAAACTTGGGAACTTTCATGATTCATTGATTCAAGAAGAATAATAGTGTTTACTCAGGAGCATGATAGCCGAATGTTCCCAAGACTCTTGTGGAATGCAGTCGAGCTGCCGTGTCAGAAGACTGATTTGTCAAGCTGAAATCAGCTATTTTGGCCAAAAAATCATCAAACAGCAGGACATTGCTGGATCTGATGTCGCGATGAACAATAGAAGGCTGAACCTTTTCATGTAGGTACTCAAGCCCTTTCGCGGCGCCAAAAGCAATTTTAACTCTCTGATTCCAACTAAGAACTGGACCAGGTTCAGCCCCTTCTACACCTTTCCTCCCTGTACCAGAGGATAAGCAGAATGAAATGCTTGTCAAGAAAGTCAAAATAGTTCTCCACTCTGTAACTAGACATACCATGTAATACGTCATGTAAAGAACCCATCGATGCATACTGATATGCCAAGATTCGGTTGTCTCCCTCCAAGCAATACCCAATCAACTCCACAAAATGCTCATGCTTAAGTCTTGACACTGATGACAACTGCATTACCAAGAATAATAGATACAAAACTAAATAAGAAGATTAACCTCTTTTTATGTAAAATAACACCCAAAATATTCACCTGCTCTTCAAAATCAGAGTCTGGCTCTGGTGAAGAACTGTTATCCAGTTTCTTTATTGCAGCCGGCTGCTGGCCATTGTTCAATGTCGCATAAAAAACCCGGCCATAAGAACCCTCTCCAATCAATGCCTTTGCACCAAAATTACTGGTCAACCTTTTTAACTCATCCAATGACAAAGATGGTGCGTCAATAGGTAAAACCTTCCGAGGACCTCCACTTCTTACAGCATTAGAACTCCTTGGCTCTCCTCTATCATTGCCTAGAATACAAAGAAGAAAAAATTAATTCCATTGTAAGAATGAACAAGCTATTAATTCAGTCCCTCTGGTTATGCAATATTACTTCTTCTAAGCATACGCAATTATATAGTGAATTAGTTTTTCATATGTTTTTTTTTTTGTGTGTGTGTGTGTTTTTTATCATCTGATCTGTTAAATTCAGAACAGTACACCAAACTGCACAGGTACTGATATGTTCCAATGAGATGAACGAAATGCACAGATGCAGAATTCATAACTCTGGTTGGAGTGAATGCTTCAAGGATCTAAATACCGGAGCAAGGCGTATATAAGTTCCGAAACATATACATGGTTTCTGGTCACATAATCACAGGTCCAACTAACAAATTTTAATCCTAGCAATGGAAGTGGATCAATAAGTATCGACTCACTTAAGGATGTAAGATAATACTAAAAAATTATGGTTAGAAATAAGAACCTTGGAAAGGTCTTGATATTAGCACGTGTAGGCGATATAATAAGAAAATGTATCAAAATGGCCTGTTCACATTTTACATTCAAATATTCAATGCAGTTCGTGAATCGAGAAATTAATTTAAGCTAAGGGAGGTAGAATGGAAAATTATCATAAAGTTAAATACATGGAAGATGAAATCCCATGCTTTAGCCTGAGACATGGGCTTCAACTTTGACATTCCAAAATGGAACAAGGTTTGTGCAGCCAAAACAACAAAGGTAACAAAGACATCATATAAAGAAACAGATCATGCATAAAGAGTAACAAGAAGTGGAGAATGTGTGTGTCTTACCGCCACGATAGGGAGTCCCCCCTTTAGGTGGGGCAGTATACTGGTTCGCAGGCGGGCCATGTGGTTCTTCTTCCCCGCCTCCGCAGCACAACATTGCTCAACTCATATAAACCAAATGTTTGCAAATGTGTACTTTTTACCCAATCAATAATCCTGCATTCACCAACAACATAAACCATCGGATTAGTAAAAATAAAAAATAAATACCAGCAGAAAAGTTGGATCTTTGTACTCCCTTCCCCACTTCTCCATTTAAAATTAAAAAAATAATAATGATAGAAATAAAAATCTGTTTGGTTTCCAGGAAAGACGGGAAAAAAAATGAAAACTTGGCATTGCACCGCTAATTAATTGTGTATTGATAATGTCAAAATATTAATTGATCAAATTCTTCAGTACCAGTTTATTATTAAAAGTCATCTCATTCAAAGACAAAAAAAAATTAAGAAATTTACCGGGGGGAAATGTAAGGAAAAAAAGAAAAAGAAAAAAAAAAAGAGAGTAAATAATCACATTCGCTTTAGAGAAACGAAAAATAAAATAAAAAGGCAATAGTGGAAATTTTTGGAAAATTATAATGCATAAAGGAATCAAATCAATCACGAAAAAACCCACAAATTAACAAATCATTTATAGAAATAATAACACTCAGGAAAAAGAAAAACAAGATGTAACGAATTGTTAATAGATTGAGATTAAAGGAATGTTAGATACCAAATAGTCCTATCAAAGCGACGAGGAAAATAAATCAGGATGGAATCTGTAAGGAAATATGAAATAAATAATTTTAGGTATGAGAGAGGTGAGGAAGAAAAGGAAAAAAAATGGGCTTCTGTTTGTTTTTTCTTTCGTTTCTCTCCCCTCTCTCTCTCTCTGTGTTTTGGGGGCAAAGGCAACTATTTTTTGTTGCGCGGGAAAGTCGCTACGAGTAATTTAACCGCTAACTAACTAGTAATGCCAACGTGGGGAGAAAATACAGTGTATTGTATAAGCAAGCTGTTAATGAACAATTAACAGTAATTAAGCTTTCTTTGTTACTGAATCTGTTCATTAGAAAATGATTGTTATTTCTATTTTCTACAACAGTGGTGTTGGGTTTTTTTCGAAGGCTGATAATAGGCATCCCTATTTGGTGTCTCACACAGATGTGTTGGTCCCAATGCGGGTGTCACAAAGCTTTGAATTTTATTTTATTTTTTAATATTTGATGTTCTAACAGAACACAATTTCTAATAGAAATTATATATTTATATACTCCGTAATATATATATATATATATATATATATATATATATATATATTAAAGTGCAAGAATCTATAATATATATGCTAGGAGCTAATTAATCTAGCTGGCGAGCTTGTTAACACATCGGAACCAATTTCGGTTCATTTTCATAATTCATTAAAAAGTTTCAATTAAACCACGAACAATTAACAATCTCTTATTGGTCCTACAATTCTTTTTATTGATCCTATAAATTTTTTTTTTTTTGCCAAAAGTTATTGATCCTATAATTCTTGTTATGAACTATTTTACCATTTATTATATTTGAACGATCATGATACATTTTTAAAATTCAGAGATGCAAAATAGGAGATATGTGAATTAGGGATATCTCTTATTTTGCATCTTCTGAATTTGAAAGATGTATCATCCTCCCATTTGAAATTATAAATTTGATGCGGAGGATATATCATTTTCCCATTTGAAATTATAAATTTAATACATGACCTTATGATTATGTAACATAATAAAATAGTCCATTATAAAGTTTTTATTTATTATTATTATTTTTTAACCTGACAAACATATAACATTTTATAAAAACATAAAACAATACACGAATCCCTTGCTAAGGCAAGGGGTGGACCAGACCACGTACGAACTTATCAAAAGTATCACCAAGTATACCCCTGTAAGTTGGTGCACTGACCAAGTAGTCTGCCAAAGCCAGTAAAGTTAGATAACTAGGGTCACGTGAATTAATAATAGCCCTAAAAGTATAATTTGTCATTCACGCATAAGTGACCAATTCCTAATTGCCTTTGACAAGTGCACAATATTTCTCATTGATAGAAAATATGAACTGATTGCCGAAACCCAAGATGACAATGACATGTTCGCCGGCGATACCTGAGCAGCGGAAACACCTATGGCCATAACAAACCGCCACCAATCCCAACAAGCATCAAAAATTTCATGAACCAAAAGCTTGCCCATCGTTGAAAGGTTTCTTAGAACACCCATTCGTAGTTCAAACTCCACGATTTGGTAAGGAGGAACATCACTACTGAGCCGCAGATCCATCATGGAAACCCCTAGAGAGGTAACATTTGGAGGAAAGAAACAATGGAAGTCCAGTACAGAGGGCAGGACCGAAAACAACACAAATTGCAATTTAGCACCAAAAAGGAGACTAAAAGAATCGGAACAATACTTGGATCAAAAGGAATGCCGAAGCTAAAAACCGAGTAATGACACGTCCCCCAATAGAAAGTCGGTACCGGTGTATCCAAGCCAATAAACCGACTTGATCTTCTATAGGAACAACGATGAGAATAGGAGAAAACATGGAACCCAAATAAGAGAATTTGAGACCAAAAAAGGATGGAAAAACAACCATAAAGTAAGATGTGAGGCCACACCCAGAGATGTTTATAGCAAGCCCCATGAAAGAAACCCATAGATCCCATTGATGAAAAGGACCATGAAACCAAAGACCACCCCAGGATCCCAAGGCTGAATAACGCCGACAGCCTGAAGCTTAGCCCAGAGGACACCTAAAACATCCGGCACTCCCTTGTATGACATGAGAACACCAACCCAAAATGGAAGAAACCATAGACAGGAACAGATCCAAGAGTAAATCCACTCGCTATCCATGCCATCTCGACAAAATACAAGAAAACTCTACACTTGTAGAGAAGCCTCTACACAGAGAGGTTCCCTCAGTATTATATAAATCATACAAAAGTAAATAAATAAATACAAATCATACAAAAGTAACTTAAAATGAGATTGTGCGGATCATATATATATATATATATACACATATGAAGATTTAACCTGGCCGAATATAATAAAATAATAAATAAATAAATCAAAGTTTGCCTGATTTATTTTATACCTTTTATCAAATCGTCATACTTTCTCCTTATGTTGACGTCTAAACAAATCTAACAAAGATAGAAGCTCGTATAAAATTACTTGGAATCAATCGATTGTAAATAATTCGCTTCAATCGATCGCAATCACAAACAGTTTTATCTTTGCTTGTGACCTATTCTTGAATTCCTTGAATTCAGAAAACTTTTATTTATTCCACACTGCAAGAAGATGAAAGTGAAACCACCACTGTCCGGCTATTCCAGCAAAGAAGTTGGGAGTGGGTACTCTGAATAGAACTACACTCATCTTAGGTTGGCTAGATGCTTTTGACAGTTATCTAGTTGTTTACCATAAGGAGAAATGTGAGGCGAGGCGAAAGTCTTCGTAGCCCAAGAGATAGGGTTGCTATTGTTATCTTTAGGAGCTCGGTTTCAAACCTTCGCACACCCTCCTCACTAACCACTAACCCCCAACATTCTTTCCAAAATTAATAATAATAACAATAAGGAGAAATGCGAAAGCCGCAGAGAACTGCTATATTTTACCAACCAAATTGACTAAATAAGAAATTTCAAATTTTCAACATAAACTCAATTGAAGTGTTCTACAGACCCTCAACAGGCCAAACACAGAAATTTCCATTCTATGCACTAATGAAAAAACCAATCAGCATATTGGTATAACATACTTAAAACTGTACAATCACCCAAAAAATCCTCAATCTTTCAGTATCTCATTGTTCTTTCCATACCCTTCCAATCACTCTCAACTTCAGTTCTTGCCTATCCCCACCGGAGAAGAAGAGAGCCAAGTTCCTTGGAATGATAAGCCCATCTTGACTGTCACGAACTTTCCTGTGACTGTCGCGGATGCTCCTTGGAACTCCTTGCCATATTAGCTTCCGGCCATATGCACCAACTTCTAAAGTATAGCTGAACTTTTTTGCCTCGGTATCCTCACCCATAAAACGTAGGAAGGCCATGTAGACTGGTGCCAAACCGAGCTGGAAGGCCTCAAAGTGAAAACAGAACTGTCTTCCAAAACAATTAAACACCTGCAGGGTATTACAAGTTAAAAATATAGTTAAGAAATTTTATGTCAAGAGTACATTAAGTTGAAGACTGTTTCAGATGCTCTACATAAATAAAGCAAGTATTCAGAAGCAAATACAAGAACGAATAGAATCTTCCTATAAACACAATTTACAATGTAATTTGACTAGAGGCCATGGTTCAAACAGCTCCTTAACAGGGTAGATTATCCCGCTTGGAAGAAAATCTTGATTATAGTCTCAACAGAAAGCAAATACCCCCTTTCAGATGTTTATATGAACCATATGCAAAAAAAATAAAAGATTCATTTTCAGTCGCACATGAATATTCTACAATTAGAGCAGTTTAGCATAATTGATAACATAGAAACAAAATAACTCCTCGATATTAGGTAAATGAATTAGAATGCCTTCATTCCATGTGGTCTGCAAATGCACCACTAAAAACCGAGCTTCATTTGTAATAAAGCAAATTCTGAACTCCCCCTTTAAAAGAATGGCATCACTGTAATGAATTAGAATGCCTTTGTTCCATGTAGTTTGCAAATGCACACTGAAAACTGCAACTCCAATTACTCCCTTAACAAGAAAACTGCAACTCCAATTGCTCCCTTAACAAAATTGCACGACTCAAATTACAGAAACCATTCATAAAGCATAATCATTTTCAGATGGCTTTGATTGACTAAAAGGTTCATTTTCCCACGGAAAATCAACATAAAATGGTCTTCTTGTAATTATACCACAAAAACAGATAAACCAATTTCATTAGATATGTACAAATTGAATCAGAACGATATCATTTCCACAAACATGACCTACCTGGTTACTTGAAATTATATTGCAACATGTTTTACTTGTAGTTCTAAATTGTATCATAACACAAGTCAACTTACAGTTAGCATCCATGTGGCATTTTCAACTTCACGTGGATTTGATTTCACATAACGATGGTTGAATGTACACCCATCATGCATGTCAACCTTATGTTCATTCCTGAGATGTGCAACGAGGGTAGGGATGTCACCCATGACAGAGCACTCGGATCCAGCATAAGGACAGTTGTATGGACAGAATCGGCAGTGTTGCTCATGCTTGAGCTTGCTATAGTACGGAAAAATATCATGACAACCAAGACTCCGATATCTACAAGGGAGTTCCAATGATTCTGCTACTTTCTCCAAAGCCAAACACCTTATATTTCCCAGTTCAAGTTGGCAAGTCGGGCAACAGTTATGGACTCTAATCTTGCAGTTGGAGCATAGAGTGTGGCCATTTGGGCACTGCAAATAGACAAAGAGAAGATTCAGACACAAAGTAGAACAACGTAAAGAAAATTTTTAGAAATAAAGGAATAAGCATACCATGACAAATGGAAAGAACAAAAGACAGGAAATGTTTAGAAGTCGTATTCTAGAATTACAGTTTTTTTTTCTCTCTTTCTTTTAGTAGGATAGTTAAAATGCTACGCAAACACGAGTTTATCAAAAGAGTCATTACAAATTTACACACACCCTAATAAAGAGGTCCTAATATGAGAAAGAAGTAAGCTTCCTTTCCTCGGTTTTCAATATACGTCGACGACACGTTCCCAAGTAAAATACAGCTGGAAGAATAAACTCCTATTTCAGACTTGACAGCTGCTTCATTAACTTTTTATAGTTTCCACCTCTCAGTATATGTTACTTCGCAGTTTTCATCTCCAATTTTTGCAGCAATAATAAACTTCCAGGCTTCCAAGCATATATGCCAATTCTAAAAGATTTTGCATTTCATAGACTTGATTAAGGAATTGCTTTATAAATAAGAGCATGTAAATATCAGCTTATGGAATAACCCTTTGGTCCAACATGAACGTTCACTGAAATAATTTGGTCATTAATTAAATTTCTTCTTCCTTTGTTTTTTTTTGCAGTAGTTTGTCATTGACCATCCACATGTAACTTAATTGAAATACTATATACATACATTTATCGTATAGACAAATAGGGAGGATTTTTTTTTTTTTTTTTGGGGTGGGGGTGGGGGTGGATGGGCAGAGAGCTTTGATAGTCAAAAAACTATAAATCTACATTCTATAATCTATTTGGTTGTATTTATAAGTTGCACTAAAGTGCAATAATCCCCTTTTGTTTCCCATAGAATTTGCAGTCACAATTACATCATTCAAATGGAGTACCAAAAAGTAATTATTGTCATAAGATAAAATATTAACAGTAAAGAATCATCATCAAAGAGAAAATGAAAATAAAAACAGATATGCTAATGATCCCTTTTCTCTTCATTCAAAATGTAATCTCATTCATTATATCTCAATAAAAGTTCCAAATGCTATAAAAGAGAAAAAGACAGTTAACTACATTAAAATCCTATGTGAAACTAATAAAATGATATTATTCAATATGAGGTCCATGTGCCACATAAAAATGATGGGATTTTCAGCTCACTGGGTTCAATTCAATTAAAAAGGCAAGTTGGAACTGATATCAAACCTGGTTAATAGGAGGGTACATTAAACTTGTGCAGACAGGACACTCAAGTAGCTCGTGCACACCATTGGTTGCAGGCATACCATGCTTTTCACCCAATCCAGTGGTACTTTTACTAGTTTTCTCCACTCTATGCATCGTCTTGTCATAATTTGAAGTTTTTGGGTTGTATTCAACAACTTCTTTGCAAACACTGCTTCCAGGAGCCATTGCTAATCCAACAATCCTAATAATACTGCAAACTCAATGGCTAAGAGTCAACACCATAATCTGAACCTGATTGGTTTCGTCCCCTTTTCTACATGCATCTATTTTCTGGCAAATAAAGTACACATTGGGAGTGTAAGAATATCAGTAGTGTATGCAAAAGTAGTACAACAGATGCAGGAATTATAAACTATAGATTTCTGTGAAAAAGACATAAGACCAGTATGTTAATTAAGAATAAAAAAAAATATGCTGTCTCTGTCAGTTCTAAACATCTTGATCGATTTGATAGGTTTTTTTATTTCTCTTTTTATCTTCAATTAGGGTTTAGGTGGAGCCCTAAACTACCAAGACCAAACTAGATTCTCTTATCAACCATCTATATAGCTTTTCATATATTCCCTTTATAAATTCCACATGATAAGTTTCTCTACAACTATATAATATGATAATGCAGATAACACTTTGAGGAACAATGATTGGTGATGATATAACCCACAACCTGCAGTAACATCATTACAAAAAACCAGGAAAAAAAAAATAATAAATAAATAAAATAGAAAAAGAACCCAAAAATGAGGAAATGCACAGAAAATTTCAGAAATAAAATTCCAAATCGGGTGCAAGACTTGTCCCCTCGAGAAGTTTAGCAACCAAAAGAAAAGAATAGGCATTAAAAAGCACAATATCTTGCATCACTGCACTGATTGATACGAATATATGAAGAATGATTCACTTCAGAATATAATAATAAGACAAAACAAAAGCAACAGCAACAAAATGATAGCCCTACAATAATAGTTTCCAGGTCTTATCCCTCTACCATCCCTCAACCTAATATTCTTTCTGCATTTAGAAACCAGATTAAATATAAACTGATTTTTGTCATAAACTATCTTCCAAAGTCAAATAAACAATCAAAGCTTTCAAAATCAAAGACAATGACAGTGAAACAAACCCCATTTCATATTTGCCACAAAAACGCAAATTTCAATGAAAATTTTGCCAGAAATTGCCTTTGCTAATTATGTACTTAAAAATTCTAATTCTGAGTAAAAAACAGTGCACCAATGACCAAACAAAAAACATCCCAACTTTTCAGCCAAGTTACCATTTAGAATAAAATTAAGAATTTGGAATTTTCTAAAACTGCCTCTCCCCCTTTATTAATATCAAAACCAAAGTCGAGAACACTGCATTAAACAATCCCAACAAGGTAACAAAATCCAATTGAATTCAAAAACTCATTTAAGCCAAAAATTACCTTTCCAATTAAATCAGCCCTACCAGCAAGCAACAAAAGATAAGACATTAAAAAAGTGCAATTAAAAAAAAAAATCTACTTTATAATTTGAACACAGTAATCATTTCCATTCCAAAGAAAGAAGATGATTTTGTCAAACACGATCATCAAACTCACCACGGTTTAAAAGAAAGTATGCCCAATAAAATACAACGCAACCAACCAAAATCAGTATGTTGATGTAAAACTAGAACTGGGTTGTTCCACGAACTACTACTACCTTTTATCATTTATATCAACCATCAGCGAAACCAAAATCCAAGGCAAAAAACAGTGGAACAAAACAAATTCATTCCAGATTCCAACAGAGTACCAACTCTTTCCCATCAAAAAGAGGGAAAGAAAGAAAGGAAAAGAGAAAAAAAAACAAAGAAGAAGCCAAAAACAGACCATACAACAAAATTGAGATTTTCAAGCCCATTGTCTTCATCTCCGATCAATTTGAACAATAAAATCTGGGTTTCGCTCGAACTCAAGAAAACAACATATAGACATGAGACCTATAAAGATATATAAAAAAAAACACATCGTGACACGGGCTCCGAAAATAACGCGTGTTACCCGGATATAGAAATTGAAGAAGAGACCCTGTTGGCTCCATCGGTGATGATAACCATGCACAATCTCTGTCTCTCTCTATACTTCAAAATCTGCAATTTTGTTTTCTGTATTTTTCTCTTTCAAAACAATATTATATTATGATCCTTCCCAATGGAGGAAAAATATATACTATTTTTAATTTCTTTGCTTTATGTGTTTTTATTTATTTATTTATATTTATATATTATCGAGTTTCACGTACAACTTTTTGAGGTCTCAACTTGGTCATGGGAACAAGTTGCCCGCACGCGACGTTTGAATAATATATTATTACTGTACAGTAGTATTTAAATTTCAGTCCGTTGACGTTTACTTTCAGTCCGTTGAATAATATATTACTGTGGTATTTAAATTTCAGTCTTAGTCGGTGTTGTTACCTTTGTCTAGCGATTAAATTAATTTAATTCAGATGGAGTAGATTTCACAATAGACCATTTTTTTTTTTTTTGGTCAAATTTCACAATAGATTCATCATTGTGTTTTCATGACTCACCATCTCAAACGATCAAGAGTCAATATGCACCACTTGTGGCACTATTACTACATTTCTGTAGTAAAATATATATGTATATTATCTCCTCATGTAAATTTTGTTATATCTTAGTAAAAAAATATTACTGTACTAAATTGCTGCACCTCTATAAGGTTTTATCACTGATGAAACGAAAAAGGAGTATCGTGAATTTTTATTTATTTATTTATTTTTAAGCAAAAAAATTAACACACTCACTGTTTCACTTCTTCTAAACTAGAAAACTGAATTATAGAGCTTGGTTAAAACATGAATTAAATTTATGAGTAATTTGAAAGTGACGGGAGTACGGATTTTAGACAAAGTTTATTTTGAAATTTGATAGTTCCCAATTTAGCATATTATGGTGGAGTTCAAAAGCATTTCCAAATTCAAATAAGTCTAGACATTTGAAATTTTCACAAGCTTTCAATATAGCTTCAGGACCACTGAACAACCTTTTTGGTATGGGCCATATTATATTCATATATTGATTGCATCTGTTTCTCTTTTTAATGCTCCTTATCTATTACAGGGTTGCAATTTTATTTTATTTTATTTTTATTTTTATTTTTTATTATTATTTTTTTCTGATACAATTACAGGGTTATAATTGAAGAGTCTGAGTCGAGATGACTCGGTTATAATATTTTATTTATAAGCCATCTCATCTCAATTAGTGAATATGTAAAACATGTTATTTTATTTATTTTATTAAATTGGGTAAAGTGTAAAAAAAAATTAAAAAAAAAATTGATTTATAACTCTTTTGACATAAAATCTCCCCAAGCAACAGTGCACTAGCATTTCTTGTCTTGCTGTTAAAAAAAAATATAAATAAATAAATAAATATAAATTAAAGCATTTCCAAATTCAAATAAGTCTAGACATTTGAAAATTTCACAAGCTTTCAATATAGCTTCAGGACCACTGAACAACCCTTTTGGTATGGGCCATATTATATTCATATATTGATTGCATCTCTTTCTTTTTTTAATGCTCCTTATCTATTACAGGGTTGCAATTTTATTTTATTTTTATTTTTTTTTTTTTTTTTTTTTGTGATACAATTACATGATTGTAATTGAAGAGTCTCAGTCGAAATGACTCGTTTATAATATTTTATTAATAAGCCATCTCATCTCAATTAATGAATATGTAAAACATGTTATTTTATTTATTTTATTAAATTGGGTAAAGTGTAAAAAAAAAAAAAAAAAAAATTGATATATAACTCTTTTGACATAAAATCTCCCCAAGCAATCTAATATCTAGCATTTCTTGTCTTGCTTTAAAAAAAAAAATTAAATTAAATTAAATAAATAAATAGTCTTTTATTGTCAAACTGCCATTTAAAACTTAACAGCATTTAGTTCCTGCACATGACTATTATTTCCATCCATCTCTTTTTTAAATTGCATGAAACTCCTTTTAACTATTAATTATTTTGTAAAAACTCCTTAAACTATTTATTCAACTAAAAAAAAAACCTTTAAATTTCTCAAAAAAAAGTTGCAAATAGTCCTCTAATATCATGTTGTCTTGCTTTAAAAAAAAAAATTAAATTAAATTAAATAAATAAATAGTCTTTTATTGTCAAACTGCCATTTAAAACTTAACAGCATTTAGTTCCTGCACATGACTATTATTTCCATCCATCTCTTTTTTAAATTGCATGAAACTCCTTTTAACTATTAATTATTTTGTAAAAACTCCTTAAACTATTTATTCAACTAAAAAAAAAACCTTTAAATTTCTCAAAAAAAAGTTGCAAATAGTCCTCTAATATCATGTTGTCTTTCAAAATTAACATTATCTAGCATAAGTCTTATATTTTTGTTGTTACAAATTATTATATATTTGGATTCTTTATGTTCGAACATTTAGGACCAACCTTGAACCAATTTTTACGACACTCTTCGCTTTACCCCTAATTCCCTCTCCTATTTTTGTGGACTAATTTGCAGTTTTGCACATTTGGCTTAGTTTAGGGATTTGTGTGTAAAATCAAGGAGTCATTTACAAAATGCCTATAGCTAGCTACTTCTTAATTTTTATAATTTTAAAATATTTTAATACTTCTTCATGAATAAATGGATATATGTTATTTTTATTTCTACAAGCTTAGTTCGCCTAAAACAAAGACATAAAAATTATTTTACCATGACTTGTTTAGATATTGTTAAATAACTAAACAATATCTAAACAAGTCATGAATTCGCTTAATTTGTAACTAAACTATTCCTGAATTTGCTTAACTGCAACTAAACTGTTCATGAATTCAATTAAGCTGCAATCCTATTTTCAAGCACACATAAATAATAATAATAATAATAAATATTCAGTTGAGGTCTTAAAACAAAATCCACCTTAACAGGACCTTAAATGAAAGTCCTTGAGCTAGTTTTCTAGATTATGTAATATATCAAACCTAAGAGAAAAACATGTAAAGTAAAACAAACACAACAATTATGCCAACAAGGACAATTATGGTATTGTAAATTTAAAAAAATATATATATTTTGTAGAATTGAAAGGATAGGAATGTTGAAGGAGGGAAAAGTTCTAAGCTTACTCACAATTGCTTGGAAATGCATTCATGTTGGTGGTGGTAAGAGGTGGCGTTGTATACTAAGCATCAAATTAGTATGGCAGATTAACGACTTGGCTACCGGAAAATGACATGAAACTTTGAATGAAAAATCATCACGAATTGGGGTAGTATTCAGTGGCATGCTTAATTTTCCACATTATTTTCTCATCTAAGCAAATAAGTCATGAGCCACCAACTCCAAAGTCAAATTTAGAGGTGGATGTGATTACTTGGCGTTCATGGTCCACAAAATGAATCTTGACAAATTTAGCACATAATTAGTGAATTAAAAATTCTCCTAACCGTGTGTTTACGTGAGATACCGAACAGTCAGGTATAACAAAGTTTTTGAATTTTCCTTTTAAAAAATACATTAGGTGTTTTGTTAAATGGTAATTTAGACAAATAATAATAGCAATAATAATAATAATAAAGAGTTCATCCATAAAATTTTGTTAGTACTACCGAGCTAATGTGGTAGCACTCTGCGTTATATTCATTCTAACAACTTCACATCCCACGAGACTTACCTGGGGTAACAGAAGGATTCTGCATGTTTTGTATCAAAATTAAAATGAAATAGAAAGTGCATCTCAAACAACTACATTTTTTTTTACTAGCAAATATTATTCATTCAAAAACTATAGTTGATGAGGTTGAAGATTTTTCCAAATTGCCATATGTAGGTGCAATTTCTAACACCTGAATACTTAAAGAAATAAATCAAGAAGAAATACACAAAATATAGATGAGACAACAAACAATTTTTGAAGAGAAGAACAATGATGGGAATTCGATGATCTTTCATTCTCATTCATGCTCTATTTATAAGCTTTGTTCAGAGAATTACATGGAGCCGTTTTATGGCTTTATTCCCAGACGTGGATATCTATGCTTACTGATCGTGTGCATATTTTTATGGCAAACGTTATGGATTTATGAGTCTGTCGAGATTGGGCTATCCATCGGTTTTTATGTCAAGCGGAGCTTCCCATATTTAATCGGGCTAAGTTGACATGCGTGTATGGTTTCTGTTGTTGGGCCTCCAATTGATGGTGGGCCTCTAGGTGTTTTTAGTTTAGCAGTGGGCTGCTCTTTTGTTGCCATGTGATGTGTTATGATTGGTGGGGCTTTTTTCCCTCCACACCATCGGTCTTCAATTCTCTACAAGTCTGGTACAGCCGAATCTGAATTGAGGAATTAGTTAGAAAACAAATTAAATTACTACCTATGGTTAAAGGCTTAAAAGGTACAAACACCACCTGCAAACTTCCGTTTCCTTCCATGCTTTACAAGGTTGGTTCGAAAAAGAAAGGAACCATCAAGTTAAAATTAAAAATGCCTAACTATAGGAGATGTGACTCCACGAGTACCAAATGTAAAATCCCATGTCACCGGAACCATCCATGACATATCATAGCCGGCACTGGTCTCACAAACAATGTACATATGAAGATCCGATGATGATGATGATGATGCGGCCATTGTCCTTCCTGGTTCTACTAGGTATACACCGCTGTTTCTTGATGCTTCATTCAAAGTGACCGGAGAATATTGACTTCGTTGCTTGGACAAGAAACTTCCCACCTCAATAGCATCAATACCAGAGACAGCACATATATCACCAGCTTCTACAGTTTTCTGTTGGAACCTTGCCATATTTCCCGTACACGAAAAGTTCACTAATTCTTCCATATCTGCATGTCTGTTTCGAGGTGCATGCCTACAATGCTCGAAACAATGGAAGTAAATGGCAATTTAATTAATTCGTTCTTATTAATAGAATAATTTGGTATCAAATTAACCATAGAGAACTGTTTGCTTACACTCGCATGGATTTTATTACAAACTAAAATCTCTGAAGCTAAGGGAAAATAAATAAATAAAATAAAGACTACTGTGATACCATGCAAGGACTTTAAAGTCCAGAAGAAGATCAAATTAGAGAAAATAAACATATGTGGTCATGATATTTCACTCAAACTCCAAATTGTGTCTTATATTCTAATGGAACCTTCATCACTTTCACATGAGCTTCATTACAAGTATGGCACTTTAAGACCCACATTTGAGATAGGAGGCTTAAAATACATTCACATGCACAATGCAGTACTTTTGTACATCTGCAAGTACATGACATGAATTTATATGTAAATACACCATCTGTAAGGATACCACAAACAAGTTCATAGATTAGATCAGAGCCAAATTCAAACACCCGATATTTCTGATTTAACATCCTATGGAAACTTAATATGAAAAAGAAGAGCGGTGAACAAGCCAAGAAGTGGTCCTTGTGCTGCAATGAAAAATTAACTAGTCATTGTCGGATCAGTTAACCATTGAACTAGACATTAGGAATATCCACCCATCACACCACCAGGCCATACAATATATCCAATTATAATGTATAAATATATAGTGTAGTTTGAAAAGTGGAGGAGGTTGTCCTTAAGTCTGTTGTCTTGATCCGAAGAAAAAAAAAGGCAGATTCTACACAAGATTTTTGGGATTAGGTGAGTTCATTTCTCTCTGACAAGGTCACACTAATAGATCCTTAGTACTTCTTACACAGCCAAGCATCTAGGTTAGTATTTCAAGGGAGACAGTAGCACTACAATTTCATTAAGATAATCAAATCATGTGAAGCACTAGAAAAAACTAAATATGATCCCAATGACTGTCAAACTAATGTAATCAGAACGCGCTACATGACTAGCTCCTAAGTAAAATCATTATAATTACAAGATATGATACTAAAAGAACCAAAATTTAGTTCCAAACAAACTTACTTGCACATCCATTCCTCTCTGCAAATTCCAGCATGCAAGCACCCAATAGCTATTTTGTGTTCATCATATTCGATGTTTGTGACCTAAAATTATTTTTGACAGCAAATAATGAAATCATGAGTGATACACTGGATACTATAGATAGAAGCATCAAATAGAAATAAATACTGATAAGTTTTACATTTCAAATTATATGACCAAACAACTTGAAGCTAGAGGATGCTATGCTATATAATAACTTGAATTCATTTATGATATTCTATTGAGCAGTTAAATTTCCAAACTCTTTTATGATCTGATATTATTGAATAGCTTTATCAATTTTGTTTGGGACAGTGTATTTCAACTAATAGAAAGTTGGAGTTTGATTAAGACAGTTATTCTATTTCCTTTTAAATTCATATCATTTGCAGGGGAAATCTAGAACAACAATAAATGTAATGGCCATAGAGCAATACCAAAAATACAGTTACAGATCCTTGGACTTGATCTACAATGAATGCACATTAATGAGAAATGAAGCTATACTTGAACACTCTGAAGAAAATTACAAATTGTGTCCTTTTCATTGAACTATGGCAATGCTAATTATCTGGTTTGATTGGTTTAGCACCAATAGTTCAGAATTGGCAACCCATTTAGTAGTTAACCTTTTCTCATAAAAAAGTCAATATATGGGATTTTCATTCTCTTCTACTCTTCTTTCTACATCCCAATGATGAATCACAGATTACTGATTTAAGGCATTTGCCCAAGGCATCTTCTTGAAGTACAAAATAATGCTTTGCCAACTTCGAACAAAACAGCCATCAGGGATAAACAATCTAAGAGTTAAAAAATAGGAATGGTTATATTATTTAATAAATAAACACTAACAAGCATTTTTAGCGAACCATCTTTGTCGATTTGCGGTCCCGGTATGCCTCTAATAATGGAGTCAAAAGGTGGTCCAAGATCCTCTGCCAAATTCTCTGGAGAACGTCCACCCTTTCCCTTAATATCACTTGCATATATATATGTTACTTGAAAATCACACTGCAAATAGATGAAAAGCACTTGGAGATTAAACTATCGATCTTAATTAATTATGACAAAACTGCCTCTGTAGCTTCAGAGAGGAGAGAAATAAAGGGGTTGCAATCTTTCAACTTTGCTTCTACAAACCAGATTTGTCCAGGTTGTGAAAGGGCTTCATGGCTTTAGACATGAGATATTACTTGAAATCAAGCTACATCCAGGTAACCCGCATTTTTCCCTCTATATAATGTAAGAATCGTTTGATTTTCCACATTAATAAATTCAAACACGAAATAATTATCAAATCCATGTCCAAGTTTGACAGATAAATACGACTAAGTTTGAAAGTACCTGTTCATCTGATGCATTTAGTTCAATAAAGAGTTCTAAAATGGAATTTATGACAAAATCTGGACGAGCAGAAGGTTTATCAATCTTATTAACAACAACAAAAATGGCATGGCCCAATTCTAGAGACTTCTTCATAACAAATCTTGTTTCTGGTGTTGGACCCTCAATGGAATCTACCTACAAAAAAGTGCCATATGTATTTTTTAGTAGCATGATTTTTTTTTTTTTTTCCTGAATCAACTTAAAAAAGAAAGAACCTACTGAATCACATATGAAACAAAGGAAAATAAGTGAAAGACACCAAAAGACAGAAAGCCCAAAAAAATAAAAGAAGGAAAAGAGAGACAGCATGAAGAAATTAATCTGAGAAGGAATGCTAATTTGAAGGAATGTGAAGGGGATCCAGCCTTGGTCCTATGCCATGTGTAGATTGCTAGTGCAACGCGCTGCATCGTAGCAACAAATACATAAAAAAGTTGTTGCATAAGTGATGTAATGTTGTTGTCGCATAAGCATTAAGCGATGTAAAATTGTTGCATAAGCGATGTAAAGTTGTTGCATAGGAGATGTAATGACATAAGACACGGCACAGAATAAAATTGGCAAAGGAAAGGGTCGAGGTTCAATTTGGAGTGGCCTGTAGTAGATCAAGAACACATAAGAAACAAGTATTCTTCTAAAATCTAATGAAACAAAATCTGTTCTCCTCAAAATAAGTCATCAACCTCCAGTAAGGAAAAAAAAAAAAAGAAACAAAAAAAAAGCATGCAATTTTAATAAATTCTAAATAATTATATTATATACAGTCAAGAAAAACCTTCTTCTATCTGATAAACTATCTTCGCAGCATTATCAGTACATTAGACGCCAACCATATATTCTGGAGAGATATTATATGGATTATATAGTCATCATTGAAATTAATAGTTCCTTCACCAAAGGCTCTAGTCTAGTAATACTTCTTCACCTTCTAATGTGGTCCTGTGGAAGATCGAAGTTCAAGTCCCCACAGGCACAAAAGTGATGTGTGAGTTTTATTGCCAAGGCAAATTTTTTTTTATTTTTTTATAAGTCTTGCAGGGTAAATATATATATATAAATAATAATAATTCCTTCAAAGGCTAATAAATTTCTATGATAAGCTATGAATGACAGCATTTCCATGTATGGTGCTTAGAATATTTATAACAAGACAAACAATAAACTTACCCTATCAAATTAATGTCAATTCGACAATACAAAATATCGAATTTCCAGCTTACCCTTCAAACATTTTGTCTGATGTAATTACATACAGAATTCCGCCCTAGGTTGTGGATGAAAAAAGAGTGTTTGTCTACCCGGAAATTCATTATCATGTCACCAACTAGGATTTTAATCACCTCCCACTCTGAAGTTAGAACAATAATAGAGCATGTTCAGTTCAACGGGGCTGGATATGGAACTTGAAGGCCCATACTGTAATTAGTAACTGGAACAGGAAGAGAGACGGCAAACCCATAAGCATATTGGAAAAACATGACCCAGCTGTAGTTCCCTTTCAGTTCTTTTATTGTTCTAATTTAAGATCTGTCTTCAAAGACAAGATAAATATTGACAGTGTTCTTGATACTTGCAGACCATCTTACAGAGAAGGTGGGAAGTTGAACCCAGTAAGTTAAGGGATCGCTCTCATCCTTTTTCTTGCTAGTCTTTACATCCATCTGGAACATTGGAATTTCCTGTCATTTTTATTCAAACAAATAAAGTCCTTTAGATAGTTCAACACATTTGCCTAAAATCTTCTGGAATTTAAAAGGCAATCAACAAAAGTCATTAACACTCACCGATCAGAAATCACCACAAGCACAAAGGGAATAACCAAAAATCAACAGAAGCCATCATAATCATCAATCAGAAATCATGAGGTTACAATGAATTAATAAGTTCCAAGTAACAAATGTTGTAAAGGGGTACCACTAGAAGAACTCCATCCACCAGATTGAGGATAATTTTTCTACTTGCCATTCAGTGGCAAAATGCCCTGGTTTATAGATCATGTTTATTGTTGTATCCTTATACGAGACCGTAAGATTTGATCCCACTTCACGCTTATGTTCACACTCTAGATCATATGAGTCCAGTATCCTTTCATGTACTTATTGATTCTCATGAAATACCTGCACAAAAAACATTAGCTTCGTCACAGTACAATGATCTGTTTGAATAAGGAAAACACAAATGACGACTAGTCAGTAGTAATATTAATCTTAAAATTACAAGTGGGTAGAATAATTTTTGGAAAAATGCCATTCTAATTAGCCTTAAGTGAAACTACGTGTCATCTAATTGTCTAAAGCTAAACGCCTTCCAGGACAGAATTCATGTATCTGTCTACAAACTGTGTATAAAAGCACCTCTAAATGAAAGTCAGCATCTCGAGATAACATCAACTTGCTACTTGTCAGCAGCAAATTCGTTACATGAGAATTTATCAAGCCCTCATAGCCCATGAAATATTAGGAAGTCCATCAAACAGAATCTATGTTTGACAGGTCATCGTTATTATGCTGGCTACTTAACCTATATGAATGGGGGTAAACTCACACTCTCATTTGCCCTTATGGGACTTGAACCCTCATTTACCACTTTGGAAGGTAGAAAGGAAGCCAATAGGCTACAATCTTTGTTGGTTTGGCCACCAATCTAGTTTTATCGAAACCTTTTTTAGAAACATGATTTTTGAATATGTATCTTAGTCAAAGGTGTTCCGCCATAACTATTCTTGCATGCAGTAAAAGTAAAAATAAAATATAATATAATAAAAATATCTTCAATATGAAGACTTCCTACCAATTCTGATCATTTCATAGTAGGGCCAATATTCTCCTTTTATCATTTTCAAAAATAATAGCTTAATGATTAATCTTAATATAACAATAATCCATTAAATGTGGTTAGAAGTAGCTGGAATTATTCTGCAATCTAAATCGTGCAAAAATTGACATTTGGAATATGTAACTTGCATTCATACTGAAACTTTGTACAGTATACCATAAGTTAAGATTATATGTTTACCACAAGGTAATATTATATGTTTTTTCTAATCAATTTATTTATCATGAAATGAAGTTTATTCCTCATTGCATTTAAAGGCCATAAATTTAGCTGAATTAAGGTTCACAAGAATCACAACAAATTTCTATCCAAATTCTGCATCAGCATGTATAAAAAAATAAATATCTAATTAAGCTCTAATCTTTTCTAGTTCACCACTAATATTATTGCCTTCTTTCTTTAGAATAAGGGTAAACTCACACTCTCGTTGGTTTTCTCTAGAAAATGTCTTATGTGGCAGTCCCTTTCTAATCACATATAAGGGATCTATTTAGTTGCATATATAAATTATTGCAAATGTCTGTCTTCCTTAAAGCAAGCGTTAGAATATGGATTCATAATAGATGTTCATGGATGGACCAAACCAACTCTGTATTCATAGAATATGTACTTTGTGATCCAATAGGAACCAAAACTGAAATTATCAAGAAATAAAAATAAGAATATAAAGATTGGTCACAGATGTTCCGAGTACATTATCTAGAACAAGAACGACTAATTTTTCTTTTTACACATACTTCAAAACTTTCCATCAGATCAACCTAAGCATGAAAATTCAGATTGTAAGAGAGAAAATGCACTGAAAATTCGAATTACCATTGCGGAATCTCATTTGATTGAAGTGACGATTGAGTTCCAGGAACGGGATTTGAATGGTTTTTTGGTGATTAAAGATGAAGATAAAGGTGGAACCAAAGAATCGGTTAGTCAGCAAAGGACAAGAGAAACTTAAGCTCGTCATGGGGTTAGGGTTTATCACATAGATGGAGGGAGTGGGCGAGTTGTGGAGACCAATGGCCATCTCCATTGCTTGCACTTCGGGTTTTCTTTCTGGTAACTCACATAAAAGATGTTCACCCACTTTGCCCAATTAGTTGTCAATTTTTTTTTTTTTAAGGGTTTTTATGACAAACTTAATACAGTATATTTTAAGATTTTAAGAATATAAGAATTTTTTTTGCCCAATTTTTTATATTGCAGTTGAAATTTTTTTGTACTTCACCTTTTAAAAAATAAATAATAAAATGATTTTATTGATAATAATAAAATACCTAATGATTTTATTGATAATAATAAAATACCTAATGATAATAATAAAATAATAAAATACCTAATGATTTTATTGATTAGTCTTATGTACTAAATTTAGAGTCTCATTATTATTGCATTTTGTAAATAAAAAAATATCAAGAGTTGTTTTTAAAGCTCACTTGATTGAGAGACGAATTCGTTTCTCTTGTTCTGACTTTAACCTCTTGTGATGATGAGAGAGGCCATTAAGCTATACTTACAATTTTTTAGTCATTTTTTGTTAATTTAATTTGTCATGTTGTTTACTCATATTTTTTTTATAAAAATAAAAAATCACTAAAGTAATACTCCTAAATATGTGAAACTACTGAAGCACTGTAATACTCCTAAATATGTGAAACTGTCATATTTTTGAGCTAAAATTTAATAAATGTTAAATTTTACAAATGAATTTTATTTTTTACAATTTTATTTTTGAAAATTTAGTTTCACTTCCGCGCCCACATAATATCAAAACAAAAAACCCTCAACAATTTTCTCTCTCTCTCTCCCGTTCCCTGTTTGTACCCTGCAGACACTTCGTCTCTCTATCCTCTTCTTCGATATGGAAGACGAGCACAAGGTCTTAGATCTAGTCAAGGAACTAGTTCACCGCTTACTCACCACACAATCTGACCCAGATTTACAAAAACCGTCCTCAACCTCAAACCCTAATACTGGTACTGGTGCTACTTCGATCCACTCTCACAAGCAACAGGCTCTCAAGTACGCCATTCGCATACTATCCAGCCGAATTGCGCCGTCGATCGCTGCAGATGAAGCAGCCATGGCCGAGTCCATCAAGCGCCATCTCGCTACCCAAGGTAAATCATCCGATGCCCTAACTTTTGCCGATCTTTATTCCAAATTCGCGTCGAAAAATGGCACTGGGAGCATAAAAAACAAGTGGGGTGTTCTTTATTTACTCAAAGTCATCTCCGAAGATCGAAAGAACCAAAGAATTCGATCTGATTCTAGGGTTTCTACGGGTTTCTTCGCGTCAACAGTGTCTGGTGGACTGCCAGCATTGTTTGATTCTGAAACTAATGGAAATCATAGGGTATTAAGTGACAATTCTAGGGTTCTTCATGGTCGCGAAGAATTAGAAAAGAGTTGGGTTGATGGGGATTTGAGTGATAATTCTAGGGTTTTACGTGGTCAAGAGACTGTAGAGAAGGGTTGGAATGGTGGGGTTTTGATGGTTTTGAAAGACCCAGAGAATATCCGTGATATGGCATATAGGGAGTTTGCAAATTTATTGAAAGAAGAGAATGAGGTATCTGAAGAGGTTTTGGTTCGGGATGTGCTGTATGCCTGTCAAGGAATTGATGGGAACTTTGTGAAATTTGATAGGAATAATGATGGGTATGTGCTGGCGGATACAATTAAAGTACCAAGAGCAACTAGGATTACTGTTCGGAAGCTCTGCGAGCTTGGGTGGTTGTTTAGGAAGGTTAAGGTGTACATTACTGAGAGTATGGATCGTTTTCCCGCAGACGAAGTTGGGACAGTTGGGCAAGCTTTTTGTGCTGCACTGCAAGATGAGCTTTCGGAGTATTATAAGTTGTTGGCTGTGCTTGAAGCACAATCAATGAATCCCATTCCAGTGATTTCAGAACCAGCAAGTTCTGGGAACTATCTTTCTTTGAGGAGACTTGCAGTTTGGTTTGCTGAGCCACTGGTAAAGATGAGGCTAATGGCTGTTCTGGTTGATAGTTGCAAGGTGTTAAGGGGTGGGGCAATGGCTGGGGCAATTCACATGCATGCCCAACATGGTGATCCACTTGTGCATGATTTCATGAGGCGGTTACTTCGTAGAGTTTGTTCTCCTCTTTTTGAAATGGTGAGGAGTTGGGTTTTGGAAGGGGAGCTTGGAGATATTTTTGCTGAATTTTTTGTGTTGGGTCAGCCCGTGAAAGCAGAGTCACTTTGGAGGGAAGGTTACCGTCTCCATGCTGGAATGCTTCCTTCTTTCATATCACAATCTCTTGCTCAGCGCATTTTGAGGACTGGAAAGTCAATTAATTTCCTTCGAGTTTGTTGTGAGGATCGTGGTTGGGCTGATGCTGCTACAGAAGCTGCTGCTGCTGCTGGTACCACGACTACAAGAGGGGGTCTTGGATATGGTGAAACAGATGCACTTGAATCTCTTGTCACTGAAGCAGCAAAGAGAATAGATAAGCATCTGATGGATGTTATTTACAAGCAATATAAATTCAAGGAACATTGTCTTGCAATCAAGCGATATTTACTGCTTGGGCAAGGTGATTTTGTTCAGTATCTAATGGATATTGTCGGGCCAGAGCTCTCCGAGCCTGCTAACACTATCAGTTCATTCAAGCTTGCTGGGCTGTTAGAAAGTGCAGTTCGTTCGTCCAATGCACAGTATGATGATCCTGATATACTCGATAGATTGAGGGTCAAGATGATGCCACATAACAGTGGAGATAGGGGCTGGGATGTTTTCTCTTTGGAATATGATGCAAGAATTCCCCTAAATACCGTGTTCACAGAATCTGTTATGTCAAGGTATTTAAGAATCTTCAACTTCTTGTGGAAGCTTAGACGGGTGGAGCATGCACTTATTGGTGCCTGGAAGACAATGAAACCGAATTGTGTTACTTCTCATTTTTCCAGTAAGCTGCCGCATGCAGTTAAGTTACAGTTACTTTTGACTTCAAGACGATGCCAAGTTCTTTGGGATGAGATGAATCATTTTATTACAAACTTACAGTATTATATCATGTTTGAAGTATTGGAAGTGTCATGGTCTAATTTTTCTAATGAAATGGAAGTTGCTAAGGATCTTGATGATCTACTTGCTGCACATGAGAAGTATCTACATTCAATTGTTGAGAAGTCTCTCCTTGGAGAACGGTCCCAAACCCTTTATAAGACTCTCTTTGTTTTGTTTGACCTTATATTGCGGTTCCGAAGTCATGCAGATCGGTTATATGAAGGTATTCATGAATTGCAAGCAAGGTATGGATCGTTATTTCCCCTCATTGTTAATATTTGTTGAAATTGCGCTGAAAGAATTGGGATCCTGTATAGTGTACACATTTGTTTTGTTTCATTATCTTACCCGATTGTCATGATCTACAGAACTTTGGATAACACTTTGTCTATCCGAGACAAGGCCAAATCATTGAGGCGTTCAAATGATAGAACTTCAGAGCCTGGGTCATGGGTTAGTGAAGGCAGGAAGGCCATAACACAACGTGGTGGTGAATTTCTTCGAAATATGGAACAAGATATAGATGCAACTGGCAAAGAATTTTCATCATTACTTGAGGGGTTCATTTCTCAGTTGCCTGTGCAGCAACACATTGATTTGAAGTTCCTCTTTTTCCGCCTTGACTTCACAGAATTCTATAGCCGCCTGTGTCCTAATATTCAAGGAAAGTAGTCAGTATGACATTTGAGTTCAAAGAAGTAACATTCTGAACTGTGAAAAAGGTGTCATAATTCACCAATAGGTATCCGGCACATCGCCAAAGATCAAGTGGTGGCTAACTGACTTCGGAACTAAGCATTTTTTTATTTTATTACATTGCTTGCTTTTAGGTATGGAGTTTTTCTCCTTGATGTTTCATTATTTTTACATGATTTTCTTTGAAAAAATTCTTTTATCCCTTTGTTTATTTCCCTCCTTGGTCTGATACCTGTAACTTTTTTAATCTTCAGATGGCATTTTCTCCTCTCCGAATGGCGTGTTTGGAAGTTTTTTTATGGTTGAACTGAAGGTACTTTGCTGTCACCGAATCAGTGTGCCAATATATGTACACGAATTGTATTTGATGGTTCCGTGATGTGTTGGTTTTTCTTACTTGTTGCAAGATGTCCGTTTTGGGTGTATATCTGTACCATGCTTGTGTATTCGCTTAATGATAGGTAAAGTGTGCTAATTGTTCTATTTGCACCAGCCTTCTCCATTTCTTGTGTTCAGTAACTTTTCATTGTGTTCCTTGGAAATTTTATTTATTGAAATTATAAAGCAGTGTACTTGCTTTGCAATGCCATATTGTAGGTGACTCAAAAATGCCTTTCTTGGCCTCTGTATAAACAATCAGGTGAAAATTAGAGTGGTTTTCAAGAAACTTTGCACTGCTTTTGTTGGTTGTGAAAAATGCTTCCTTGGTGTTTTAGTCCTTTTAAAGAGTTCAAATTGTTATATTGGGGCATGGCCTTCACATCCTACAGTATTGGCTTGGGTTTGTCTGCTACGTGTTTTTTTTGCATCTTATAAGCAGCAAATCTTATCTAACTATGTTTAAGAATGGTTGTGGGTTATCGGACCTAGATGTTGGCTCTCAGCTCCTAAATCACCAAACAAGCACCAACATGCTTTTCGTTATGTAGCTTCTACTATTGTACTACCTCTGACCCATGTTAGTGGTCCATCTTTCCCTTTTAGGATGTCCCAAATTAGTTGTCCTCTTAAAAAAAGTCGAAGCAAATAAATGTTATCTTTCCATCATTGCCTAAGTTTTCGAATAAAAATAAAAAAATAAAATTCAACTTAGTAATATACATATTTAAACTAAAAAGAACAAGTTGTTAATTTTTAAAAGGGACAATGCATTAATTGCATGTCACCTTAAAAACTTCTAATACTAAACATGGACATATAATATGGGACGGAGGGAGTAATTGTATTTGAATTCATCCCTTACTTTGCATCAATTGTGATTAATGTATGGGCCTAAATACAGATACTACGAACACCTATTCAATATCAGCACAGACAAATACTTGTGGAACAAAATGTATATCTTATTCATACGTTTTTTCTTTCCCCTTATACCTGCATATAGTTGATAAGTAATATAAATATGTATAAGTATTCCCCTTATTATTATTACTATTTTTTGAGTAATATTAAGAGGAATATAGCAAAATATCTTTAAGTTCCATTTTCCGGTGTTCATTCTATTATCCCTAGTTCTGCCAGTGAGTTTGTAGTAGGGTTGGCTATTCGTTTTTTCGTGTTATATTTGTGTCATGTCATGACATGGGTATTATATTGTATTATTAGGGTCATATCAAACACGAACATTACATGTTGACGGCCGAACACGGTTAAGCCAAGACCCGAACATGAATTAAACCGTCTTGTGTTAGCATATTGTGCAAGTATTGTCACCTCTTGTTGATAGGTGGTTTTTTGTGTGTGTGTGTGGGTGGGGGGGGGGGGGGGGGGGGGGGGAGGTCATCCCTTGAGCTCTTTTTGGTATTTGCGGAAAGAGCAGAACAGTTGCACCTTTTACGAAATGAAGTTATCGTTGCATAGGTTGAAGAAGTTAATGCTCACTGCTATAGAATGTTGGCTATCACAGAAATTTCCCAGCTCTTTACATTCTCATATAGATTGTAAAGGGTACTTAAGTTTTCTCGGAAGGAGCATAATTTTTGCTGTGCTCCTATATATGCGATGTGCACATGGTTTGCCACTTCGTTGGGACTTTCTATATACTTGCAGAAAAGTGATTCAAGGGGTTTGAGAAAAGTTTAGTAGATTATAGTGATGTAACCTGATCAGCACTGAAGAAAGGTAGGTAAGAGAAGTTAGGCAACTTTCACGATAATTTTTTTGAGCATGTGGTGTTTAATCTAAAATGCTGTTTTTTAATGTTAAATATCTGAAGAGTAAATAAAGAGGGTATGGATTATAGAGGATATAGAGAAGAAAAAAGAGGGCAGTGATGAGGTAGGAGGACGAGGGCACAAAATCGACTCCATGTCCTTTAAATGTTTGGGATGGGAGATACATATGGTGATATAAGTAGGCGGAGAGAGAGAGGAATTTCAAAGCTCTTCTGTTTTGTTTTGTTTTTTTTTTTTTTTCCACCTTTTCTTAAACTTAATTCATCTTTAAGACTTGGCATAAAGAAAGATGATATCTGAGGGCTGATACTGTTCTTCAGCAATAAATCCTGTTTACAATTTGAGTATTTGAACTTAGTCCTGTGGAAGAATAAACTGGTTTTTAGTCATCTTATCTCAACCTGTATTCACAAGCAAAGTTTCCTTTTTAAAATTTTAACATTTTCTTTTCAAGGTTGCAAGTTAACTTCTACGATGTCCACATGGGGCATCCTAATCATCTGTCAATGACCTTTTTCATGGTTTCATTTAATCCTATAGATCCACCTTGTGTGCAGTGTGCACAACTGCTTACACTGAGCAGTTTGTCTGAACTCTACAGTGGCACAACTGTTGGCTTCCAGACTCCCGAGAAGCTCAAATGGCCCAGGCGTTGTTCCCTCGTTCTTTGATGTGATAATTATTTATGTTATCTATTTACGGTACACCACAATAGAGGTAGACCTGCAAATTTTGTAACATCCACCATTATTATCTTAAAGCTCTGGTAAACATTTTGAGGGTGGAGGTCTTACCAGCTCTCCTTTTATACTTAATAAATTGCTATCTTGATCTTTTTTTACATGAAGTCTCGTTACTTATTTATATATGTCTGTAATACTGGATTTTCTTTAATCTTCTTCCATAGATCTCTAGATAATGTTTTAGACATTTTAAGAAAATAGGCATTCTTTTCTCGGCGGTCTTGTAACTCAAAAGAAAAGTTTGCTAGACTATGTTGAGCTATTAAACTGCTTAATCTGGACACATCGTTGCAATATCTGAATTTGCTGAAACTTGGGTTATGATGCTGTCTATCAGTGTCAGGCTCTCTGTGAATGTTGTTTTGTCCTTTCTCTTTTCTCTGGATCAACCATTTTATGTTTGATTTTCATGGGAAGAATCGACCCTATAACTGTTATCCTTTTCTATTTAGGGTAAACAGCAAAAAAAATTCCATCAACTTTTACGATTTCGTAGATTACCCTCTTTAACTTTTTTTTAAACTGGATTTGAGGTATTGGAGAATCAGTGTGTGCCAGATGATCCTGCTGTATGTTTCTCCATTTGTTGCAGCTTTTAAATATATACTCTTATCGGTTCTCTCTCTTGAAAGAAGGTTCAAGTTCATTAACAAGACTGAATTTTTGCCTTTCCTCTTTAATGGCGGGCATTATCCCTTGAAGCACATGGACGGCAGGAGCCAATTGGTATTTTCTTTCCCATTTCATTGTCATTAATGGAAATTTGCTTATTCAGTTTGCGTATGTTAGGCATTGAAAAAACTAATTTGTGTTATGGGCTTTCCTTTCTTCTATGTGAACTTATGGTTTTATCTTTAACCATAGTAGCATAAATTATTGGCTCCATGAATACATCACTTTCTTAAGCATTGCATGGATCTTTTTGAGATGGGAGGGAGCATCTACGGTTTTCATCTTGGAGTGTAACTCGGTGCGAAGATGGACCAAGTGCTTCTGATGTGTGGTCCCCCTCTAGTAGGATTTTTGTTCAACAGCATTAAAGAAAACTTATATCAGTATCTAGGAATCCCTTTGGGTTCTGAGCTCCTTGAATTAAAATAGAAAAGAAAAGAAGCATAATTCCTCCATCCCTGTAATTGTGGAGCTTTTCTGATAATAGATAGGATGTTCTTAAGCTATTTTACTTGTCCGGTGTCTTTGGCAAATAGATTATATATGCATTCTAGAAATGTTGATTTTTATGCATTGAGAGATTGTTATGAGAAGACCAATATTTAACTTGCATCGCATTGAATTCACTCAATTCATTCTTTTTTCATGTACTTTCATATATTATATTCAAATAGAAAGCTCATATTACTAGTAGAAACGTCATTGATGGTTTTTCATGGTTTTATAAATTTTTGTTTGAATTACCAAAGATGAGATGAGCAAGGACAATCTGATACTACCATATAATATTATAGTTTTGTTTGAACGTGTGCGCATACATAATAAAAAGCTAAAATCTTGACAAGATAAAAGTTGGAGATGGAAATAAAATTCTTCAGTAAAGAAAGATACAAATTTACCATAGTTATTATCTCTCTGGTTTACCGGTTTACCGTGCATTGAATATATATATAAAGTTAAAGAGAAGAAAACATTGTGATCAGCCTGCTAATTTATACTTCTTCCCTGTGAATGGTTGAAACTTTTGTTCTTCAATCTTTAAACTTCCCCTCTTGACATCCTGTTTTGAGACCGACTTTGATATATTTTCAGGCTGGATTGTATCATCTGAACCGAACACAAGCTTTCCTTGCGTCTTGTGAGACTTAAATGTCAAGTCAGTAGCCATTCTCATTCTCTCAGCAGCAGCAGAAGATCCATTATCTTTCGCTATTGAAGTTGAAATTGGTTCAAGAGGTGTTGTTTTCCCATCCAAATGTCTAGCGGCACCGGTGAATGGTGTGAACTTGGCTGGCTCTTCTTGAGCTTTACAATCAGGGTCATTCTTCCAAGTAATCTCTGTTTTTTATTTCTTTTCAGGTTCCTTATAGTCCAAAGGTTGTGCAAATTCCACTTCACAATCTGTCTCAACTACAGATATTGCATTGGATGGCGTGGTTTCCACCATATCAAGGTAATGCTCCTCTTGGTTATGAGTGATCAGGGTAGTATCTCCAATGGTCATACAAGCAAAGTCCCTAAAAGCTTTTTCAAGCACAGCTTTAGGGTTGGTTAGGCTTGTGAATTTCATGGTATGTGGTTGTATCTTCATGTAGGTACCTTTGGGGGGGCTGGTTTTCCTTACAATCACCAACTCACCCTCTACTAGTTTAATGTTCTTCATCATCCAGTTTGGCAAGAAGATGAAACCTTCCTCAGCGTTGAACTCTAGAACCCCACAATGCGACACTTGTCCAGAAGCAGGGTTTTCAATTTCAAAAAGCAAAGGGTACTCGACTTCCATGAACGCCAGACGGTCAAGAGCGGAAGGAGGCATTATGATTCTATTTCCGGCTTCGAGATGGGACTTATTGATATCAGAGAGTGGAAAGCAGCGATAAGCTTGTTTAAAGGAGGATTCATGGGTTTGCTCCATGGTGATGATGAAAGATGATGATGATGATGATGATGATCGACGGCTTCTAAATGCTATAGATATAATCTGTAAATTGAGAGTAGGGTTTTTTTTGGTTATAACTTATGACGGAACCTTATCATATAGGTACATATATTATAGTCGTATTTTATTTACATCCTAGACTCTTAGTCCGTGTGGGTTTTGGTTAGTCTTATGACTTCACATCTTACTCCATTAGGGATTTTGGTTATTAACCTAAGGAGGTAAATAATAATAATAATTATTGCATGACTCAATTTAGATATAGAACTTTGGTAACAACCAAACTTGTTTTTTATAAACTACTACTACTACTAATAATAATAATAATAATAATAATAAATCAATATTTTAAGCAAGTAAAAAATTTATTTGAAGTGTTTCAACATCACCGGGACACTAAAAAATCATGTTTACTCTACAGCCTAAAGGTTTTTTTTTTTTTTAATTTATTTTGCTATGAATATTATTTTAATTCCAAAAGTTGCCCACAATGCATCCATCCAACGGACGAGCACCTTCGGCTCCTCCATTTCCATTCGAATCAAAAGTTTCGGAATGCATATCATTTCTTTTATTTTGTATTAATTAGGTTATTAGCTCCTATATCCAGTGACATGGGCATTACATTATATTTCTACTTTATATGATTTGTATATTATACTTCTATTTTGTGCAATGATTAATGAATTTCTTAAACTTAAACTAAATTCTCTCTAATCCTTAATTCAAGCCACTAACCAAACATAAGTAACTAAAGCGCAAATTTATAATGTGTGCCGTTACAAAAGTTTATCTCTCACTAATTTAAGGAGAAACTACCAACTTTTAATATCTTTTCACTAACGTAACGACCCTATTATTTAATTTAATTAATTTACAAAATATTATTATATTAATTGAAGAAACTACCCTCATCATTAAGCTTCTTTCTCTACCCTAATCTCTAACTCTTATTTTCTGATTTCATTTTAGTACCTAGGCTCCTAGCCGCCGACCCTCCCTTTCTGGCTTCCCGATCTCCCTCATTCCCCTCTCTCTTACTATGTTATTATTTTATTTTATTTTTGGATAAATCGCACCCCTCATCATTCTTCTCGCCGGTTGAGGAGCTACGGGTGGCCGGTGGAGGAAACGTAACTGGTGGTGAAGGAGATGGCGGCTAGGCCAAAGTAAATTCGTAGAATGTAGGGAGGAAATGTTGCAAAGAGGTGATTGTGATGGTGTTAGATTTGTGATTCAGATGAGTAAGGGAAGGAAAGTGGGTGTGAAAGGAGAGAAGAGAATTGGTGGGAATGGTAAGATAAAAACAGCCATTGCAGTTTTTAATTTTTTTCCGTTCTATTGTGGTGGTACCTGGTGGTGGTAATGGTGACTGGGTTGGATATATATGTTTTAAGTATGTATAGTTAGATGGGATTTTGATCCGATTATTCGGATTTGAATTGGGGAAAAAATTGGATAATTCGATAATGATCTGGATCTAATAATCTGCTATCATCTTAACAAATTGGATATGAATTATAGGTAATCCGATTTGATTAAATTTATATATATATATATATATATATATATATATATATATATATATATTACAATATACTATAATTGAATGTTATATATATTAGTTTTTTTTTTTTTTTTTTTTTATCGGCCCCACAACATAAGTACCAAGTCAGGAGTACGATTTGAAAACAACACCTCAAGAACTTACCTCGTGAATTCCTGCCAACGCCGCTATATCTATCAGGGGAATGTTACATATATTAGTTATCTAGTTTTAAATTTATGTATATTTAATTTGGTATAATGTGTTGTTCATGTATTATATATAACATGTAATTGTGTATTTGAGAGAAGGAATATCATCATTCGTGATAAAGTCAATATAGGCCTAGGGTCATTCCCCCACATGGCCCCACTCTTTATAATATGTGGTGTGTGTGTGTGTGTGTATATATATATATATATATATTTTTTTTTTCTAGAACAATATTTGATTTTAGATTCAAAACATATAAACAATATATATCTCTGTTTAAGAGAGAAAGAGGAAAGAGTTAGTTTCTTTTGCTTGTAATTATAATTTTTTTCCTTTTAAAACTTAAACACCTGTTGATATATTACTGGCCCATTTCATCATAAGAAGGAAGTTCCTTCTTATGCGGCCTAAGGCAAGCATTGTTCAAATTATGGCCTTCTTTATATGACTTGTCTTTTATACTTCTACTTTGTGCAATGATTAATGAATTTCTTAAACTTAAACTAAATTTTCTCTAATCTTTAAATTCATACCACCAATCAAATATAACATAAGTACTAAAATTCAGAAATAATTTCAAATTTTGTAATGTGTGTCATCACAAGAAGTTTATCTCTCACTAATTTAAGGAGAAACTACCAATCTTTAATATCTCCCTCACTAAGTTACCAACTCTGATTGTTTAATTTAATTAATTTACAAAATTTCAGTCATATTAATTGACGAAACTATCATCATTAAGTATCTTTCTCTACCCTAAGCTCTATTTTTTATTATTTATTTTTTTGTTTCATTTTGGTACCTAGCCTCTTAGCCGCCGATACTGCCTCTCTCCCTTCCCTATCTCTCTCATTCCCCTCTTTCTTACTATGTTATTATTATTATTATTATTTTGGTAAATTGCACCCCTCGTCATTCTTCTTGCTGGTGAAGGAGCTACTGATGGCCGATGGAGAGAAACTTAACTGGCGATAAAGGAGATGGTGGCTAGGTCCAGTTAATTCACAGAATTTGGGGGGAAAATGATGTAGAATGGTGGTTGTGATGGTGTTGGATTTGTGATTCAAATGAGTTAGGGAAGGAAAGTGGGTGTGAGAGGAGAGACGAGAATTGGTGGGAATCTATGAAGCACAAATACGGACACGGGTACGACACGGATATGGCGACACAACAAATTTCAAAAATAGAACACGGACACAGTAGGGATACGCCTATAAAATAATACAAAATCCACAATACCATAAATCTAACCACCCCAAAAAATACTACAATAAAAGAAATATTTCAATTAATTAAGAACAAAGCAAAGTTATCAACGACTTTACAGTTTACATTTTACACACATCCACAAATATAATTGTTATGATTTCTCTCTGTTTTTCTTGCTACGGTCTAAAAGTTATGAATGAATCAAATAAAAAAATAAACGTAATGGAATCATAAAATTTAATAAAAGTAGAAGCTCAGAATCTCAGACAAAAGAGTCAAAAGAGTGAAACTTCTAAAATTACATTAGGTACCCCATTTTTCTTTAAAAAATTACAAAATATACGTGTCCTCCGTGGGTCTTAGTCGTGTGTACCCCCGTGTCCAATTAAAAATAATTTCTGGACACTTCACAGAAATGTCACGTGTCCGACATTGGTACGGGACCCCTGGGAGGGGTGTCCGTGCTTCATAGGTGGGAATGGTTAGATAAAAATAGTCGTCGCTACTTTTAATTCTTTTTTGGTTCTATTGTGGTGGTGCCTAGTGGTGGTAGTGGTGTCTGGGTTGGAAATGGCAGCTTCTTTTTTTTTTTCCCTTGTTGGTGCGTCTTGGCTAGCCATGGCTATTTTTAATTTTTGCTGGACATGGTTGTTTTTAATTTTTGTTCTACTCTGGTGGTGGTGGTTGAGTTATTTAGGTGTGGCTGTGGTGGTTATGGTGATATTTAGGTTATCGTGATGTTTCAAATTTTTATTTTTATTTTTTCTATTGTGGTGGTGGTGGTGTTTGTTTTGGTAGCGTTTGGGTCTGTTAGTGGTGTTGTTTTGGTGTAGTGGTGGTGTTGTCTTAGTGTGATGGTTTTCAATATTTTTTTCTACTGTGGTGATGGTGTGTTTGGGTGTGGTGGTTATGGTACTGTACAGTTATTTAGCTATTTAGAAAAAAATTAATTTTTTTTTCTTATTTATTTTTATGTTGTAGTGGTGGTAGTTTCTCACTATGGTGGTAGTATAAGTATTGTTGTGTATAAAACTATATCTATGTGTATAGAAGAGATGAAGAGGTTACTTTGGTCCATTAAAATTAATTAGGAGGTTAAATTTGTAATTTTATGATTTAAATAGAGTTGTTGACAAGTCAAAGGGTTAAAAGGTAATTTTATATGAACTCAGAGGTTTGGAGGGGTATCAATGCACATTTTTGAAATAAGTCATCGATTGTCCATTGAGTAGTGTTAATCAAAACTTTAGGGGTGTCAATATAATTTAACAAAAAATAAAAAACAAAAAAAATTAATTCCTCCATCCCTGTAATTGTGGAACTTTCCTGAGAATAGATAGGATTTTCTTATGCTATTTTACTTGTCTTGTTATTTGTTTTAGTCCTGTGTCTTTGTCAAATAGAATGAATATGCATTCTAGAAATGTTGATTTTTATGCATTGACAGATTGCTATGAGAAGACCAACAATATTTAACTTTACATCGCATTGAATTCTCTCAATTCATTTATTTATTTATTTATTATTATTATTATTATTATTATTATTATTAATTTTAATGTACTTTCATATAATATATTTAAATAGAAAGTTCATTTTATCATTAGAAACATCATTGATGTTTTTTTTTATGGTTTTATAAATTTTTATTTGAATTACCAAAGATGAGAAGAGCAAGAACAATATGATACTAATTCCGGAAGCGTTCCTAGGGATTGAAGTCTCATAAATATTGTTTTGTTGTGGCTTTTCCCATTAGTTTACCGGAAAAATCAAAAGACAATTTGACCCTTTTTATGAAACTATGTAGTTTTAATCCTTAACCTCCTAACTGCTAATGTGGCTACTTGAATATTAACAACCAATGGCACTTGTACACCTAATTATATAATGTTGAAAGATATAAAAGGACCAATGACAACATGATTTTCTCTTTCCAACCTCAACTCTTAAGCATTTCTATCTCCCTGTTAAAATAATTCGTAGTAACTCTGAAAAATTATGTCATCAACACTTTCAAAGCCAAAAAAAAAAAAATCCCAATATATATAGCTAGTGCTCAAAGCAATAAGGGCAAATTCGAGT